AACGCCCCCACGGCTAGTATTGGAGAAATTATAGCAATAAGTGTGGATAATGGAGGAGCTTCGTTGGTACACTGTAACATTCATGAATCATGAAGAGGTCTTTCAATCCCACAGCAGAGCACAGGTATTTTATGTATAAATATTATAAAAACAATTAAATAAACAACTGAAAATATAATTATCTGATGATTTACGTCCATCAATATTTCACTATCACTAAATAAATCTCTTGCACTTTTACAGATTTTCAGTAAAAAAAAAAAAGATAAAGTATTTTATGTAACCCGTGTATCTTTCAACGTAAGGCATAAAATTAAATCTTAGAGATTGAGGAAGTTTTTTTCAATTCAACATTGTCTTATGTGTTACTTAGAGCCAATACATACCGTAAGTGTATGATACTCAAAATCTATTGTAATAAGAAACTTAAAATCTATTATGTACTCACACTCATCATAGAAACCATAGATCCTGTTGATACTAGCACATTCGTGGTTCCCTCGAAGAAGGAAAAAATTCTCGGGATATTTTATTTTGTAAGCCAACAAAAGACATATTGTCTCCAGAGACTGCTTTCCTCTATCTACGTAGTCTCCCAAAAATAAATAGTTGCTTTCTGGCGGGAATCCTCCATACTCAAAGAGTCTTAATAGATCATAATACTGACCGTGAACATCACCTGAAGAAAAGACAGATCTAAGTATTAAAAAAACTATTAACAATGTTACATCAAATATAAATATTGGGAATTGACAACTTTTAAAGCTTCTAACATTTTTTTAATTCCTTCCACTGACCTTGTTGTTCTAATTACTTGTTTTATCAACAGACCACATATACAATTTGATATAGTCTTTGTTTTATCATCTCATCATATCTACAATTTGACTTAACTTCACATTTTATCACCTAATTACAGCTACAATTTTGTATATCTCCATATTTTATCGCTAGATCACAGTTATAGTTTGGTCCAACTTCATAATTTATCACCTGATAACAGTTACAAATTTTGACAACTTGAATATAATTAAAATATAAAAGCTGTAATAAACAGTTGTTTTTCAGAAAAAAATAAAAAAGCACAAGTCCTATTGTAAGATTGATTAAAATAAATATTCTTCTTCCTTGCCACGTGCTTTGTTCTTTTTCATGTATACTTTTTTATCAGTTGATGTAAAGAACAAAGGCACATCTAATATTATTTTATCACTTACGACGTACAAAATCTTCATACATATTATTTCTCTATGGTAAAATTAATACCTATTCCAAGAAGGGTCAGTTTTGAGATGTTTAATACTAACCATGCATGTACAGCTTGACAAGCAACTATAGTTAGTTTTGTGTCTGTTTAAATAACTATATCATCTTGTGACGAAATGTTTTCTCCATCCACAGACATTTCATTCTTTCATCATGGGAAGTTATTTATATACCAAACATCCCACTCAAACGTTAAGAGTTATGTAACACAACTCAAATACATAAACTTAGACATCCCACAACTTTCACGTGCTGGGAAGTTATTTATATACCAAACATCCCACTCAAACGTTAAGAGTTATGAAACAGAACTCAAACACATAAACTTAGACATCCCACAACTTTCACGTGCAGGCTGTGTGATAACTTAGCCAACAAGAATCAGGTTTATACTTAGATAAGAGAGTAATAGCTACAGCCAGCAATATAGACATATATATATATATACACACATTTGTTAGTTCTTTACATTTACATCACCAACATAAATGCATTTGTAAGATGTTATACATGATAGTTAGAATGTTTGTTTGTTTTGTCTGAATTTCACAAAAAGCTACACAATGGCTATCTGCACTAGCCATCCCTAATTTTGAAGTGATAGACTAGACAGAAAGCAACTAGTCAACACCAACTATTTGGTTACCTTAATCAAATAGTGCGATTTGACTGTCACCCTTCTAACAAACTCATGGGCTAAAGTGCAAAGTGTGTTTGTTTTTTTAGCAGTAATAGGGGGCAAATCACAGAATCTCAGACACACTAACTGCTGAGCCACTACGTTAGAAGTTAGCATTATCCATAACTGAAAATGTATTTCCAATAAATAGTCATCTCTTCTCACATCTAGCTCTTCCCAATTCAGTGCTGTCCTCCACATGTGAACATTTTTTTGCTCACCTCTAGCCTTGAGACTCGTATCTAATCTCACGTGTTTCAAGTGATATTGCTACATTGTAATTTTTTTACACATTCTGCTGGAATTATTTTCCTGATTTCCTAGTAATTATCACCATACCTTATAAAAACCTCTGGTCTATTTATAAAAGGTGGATAATAACATGGTCTGGATTAATTTTCAGCCAACAAGACATAAGTGTTATAGGACAGTGTTACTGTCTAAGGTAAATCAGTATGTTTGGCCATACACTGATAGTGTCTGCTCAGGTTTAAGAAGTTAACATTAAATAAATACTCTGTGACACTTTCCTTCATAACAAATAAACAAATTAGTTTTTATGTGGGAAAATGAATTTTATTTAATGTCAAAGACAAAACTTGCTAAACTCAAAGCATCTTTTAGTCAAGAAATTAAGTCTAAAAAAACTGTGATGTTTAAAGTATTGAGTGGTTTTAAGAATAAATAACACAAAAACAGTAGTTTTTATATCTACAATGCAACTCTTGCAACATTTTTCTTACAGTACATTATATAGCTTTTAAAAAACAAAACATGATGCAGGTCACAAATAATGTAAGTGTAAAAAGTCAATCAAGAACTGTTCTCATTTGTAACTGGTACACATTGTTTTCTGTGTCAAACACATTACATACATACACACACGTATGTGTACATTCACATTGTTTTCACGACAGCATTAAGAAAGACATGTTTCAATCATTTTGTTATAATCTACTTTTATTTTGCAGAAATGAGAACAACTGGTTTTTAATTATTTCATAAAGAGCAGCTGTTTGAAATCTCCTGTGTTTACTAAGTTCTGTAACAAATCCTATCCAACTTCACAAATTCTTTAGTTATTTGTTTGTCCACGTTTTTTTTTTTAATTTACATTTACTTTTGTGTACTCTAATAATCCATGATGTACAACTATTTTGGATGTTTAAAAATACACCTTTTTTTTTTTCGCAGCTGCTCTAATTAGCACCTGCCACTGCTAATGACCTGAAGCAATGACAAAGTAGGTGAAAACTATCCTCTACACATAATTATGGATTGTAAAGTGGATCAAACGCACACACACGTAACTAAATGAATAAAACTACTCCAGTTACTGATGGTGGTGTCTAGACTTGTGGTACAAAACTATAATGTTTTTTTTTCTCTTAAATTACAAAATAATTTTGTGAAAAAAAAATGATACACTAAATATTTTTTTAATAGATATAATTAACAGATAGTAACAAATTAACCAAAACTTTATCTAATGCTACTCTTTAATTTTGAAAACTTGTCACCTGCTAAAGTAAAACAGGATTAAAAGTAAATATAAAAATGTAAGTTAGCAGGTAAAGTAGATTTGGATCTCAAAATCATATTCATTTCATTCAATTTAACATCTAGTATATTCATAAACAGCTTCAAATAAAAATCTAAATCACCATCATTAGAAAAACAAGAATTAAATATTACTGACAATTAACATCTTATTAACAGTACAATATGATTTATACTCAATCATCAATACTAAAGTGATGAATAACAAGCAAATACAGTTACAGCTTGGTGCATTCTGGAAAATAAATGCTATTAAAGTTTTAACCATGATAATTCTCTTTTTTTGAAAACAATTTTAATTATTTCTTGGCATTCTCAAATATCAAAACATACATGTTTGTGTTCATAATGTTTTTATGATGTACTACATTTTAAATCTGGCTAAATAGAGGGAGGGCTGTCATTAAACTACGGAGATTGGCCCCCAAGAGGAATTAATATGAATTGAAGATACTTTGAAAAATATATATATATTCATTCATATGTTAGAATTTCCATTAATTTAATGTTTTGTATCTTCATAAGTAGTTATAAGATAAATATTTACATCATCATCTGAAACAAAAACAAAAGTTAAACACTACTAATACCTTCAAACATTACGGTCGCGACCTCTTATACTTACAATTCTGGAACAAAGCACATGTCTGTCATTCTCAACTTGCTTTGTGAAATTTAATGTACACTTGTTAAAAACAGAAGGAAAAAAATTATTTTCAAACTAGCATCAATTCATTTTGGGGCCAATATTTACATCCTAATGTCAGTCCTCCTTGAAACTAGCATCAATTCATTTTGGGGCCAATCTTTACATCCTAATGTCAGTCCTCCTTGAAAACTATCTTCCATGTCTATGTATTCCTTGTTTAATGAGGATCACAGAATTACACTTACCACAAATTTTAAGCGGTGCCTCTAATTCTAGGAGAATGGGTTGACTAAGGAATATTTCTCGTGATTTTAAACACAACCCTCGAATTTCTGCTTCACTTAATTGGACATTCTTACCTGGGCGAGACCCTCTTACTGAAAGAAGATATATAAATATGAACACAAAATGATTTTTAAATTGACTTCTTAAAAACACAAATACCGATATCAATAAAGACATAAATAGTTTGATTTTTTTATTGTAACCTAGCAACACGTAAGGCTTAGCTATTCCATTTCAGCATGAGCCAATAGTTGTCTTTATTAACATTGTATTTACTATATTTTTATTAGCTTCTCACACATGATGTGTGATGTACTTTATGCAAGTAAAAGTCCAAGTTCTGACCAATAACAAAATTAGAGAGTAAAAATGAGGGTTGAGTATGATGCCATCCATTGTTGAGCTGGAAATAAAGATTGGGAAGACAACTGTTGTGAACAATTGCTATCCAATCAGTTTTCAATATTAGGCTAAATCGATGTGACGACTGTAATTGTATCACTCTGACTGTATTAGTGAAGAGTTTTTTTTGGGCACATATAACACTACCATTGAATGATAAACATGTCTTGAAACTAAAACTAAAAAAAAGATTAGATAAATAGGAATTTTGAGGTAACATTTTTCATTAAGACATACTGACTCTCATGTAAGCGTTTCTTTCCTTTTGAAAAAATGTTGATTGGGGAAAAACAAGACTTAAGAATATAACATTATATAAATGTTCAAATTCCATAAGTAGAGGTTCGTGTATTACGTGCATATATATATATCATACACATCCAGAAGACTACAAAATTAGCAAAATGTAATAAATATCTGATATTCCGAATTTGGCTAATATATCATTCTTCAAGATATAAAACAATAAACAAACTGACATTTTTAAATCACTGCTTGTTTTTCTTTGTTATTTTATTACAAGTTACTTGATTAATTTTTACTTTGTATTAGCCCCTTAAACATTGGCATTTATAAGCACAATTAATCACACAGGGTGGAAATACTGTACTCATGTTCTCCATGCAAACTGACCACACAGTCTGAGGTACAGCTGCCATCAAACAGATAGAAAAACAGGCAGCAGTTCTGACGCAGAACAGATGCCAGATAGAATATCCAGAAGTCTTCAACTACTGACACCTTTGACAAACACTTTGGCAAAGGTACTAGTCTCAATAACCAGAACACTGACTGCTTTACATTTGAAACACGTCTGAAAATAGACAATGAACAGGGTCATCAAGTTTAGTATACCAATAACCAAGAAGGATTCAAAATGGAACACTCGAGGAGTAGTGTAATTGAACCAAAAAAAAAACACCTAAAGAATCTGTGCTATTCAAAGTCAAACAGACAGTTGGGCCTATGAAAGATCCCACTGGTCTGAGAACTCTCAATTAACTGGACTCACCACCAGAAAAAAAAAATGACAATTAGCAATTGGCCAATTTACAGGCTTTAAAGAAGAAACAACAACAATGGAAATACAGATGAGGGAAATCCACAGTGGGAGACTCTGATACAGCTCTGGAAGATGTAGGAATTAACTACTGGTTAAACGTACTGAACAATCTTTAGAACTTAAAGATTAATTTCAGATTGGATACCCAACACAGGTTCATAAGGCTCCTATAAAGATAAAAATGTACACAAGAGAATATTGAAATTACTAAGTTAAAGGAAGAGACATTACCAGCTACTTATCCTACAGGCTAAACAACAACCACCAACTGCCTAGCCTACAGGCTAAGAGCCATCATCATCTACCTAACCATTACATTTTAAATTTGCTGATAATTTGGAAAAGACATTTAATACTTGCGTGAGACAATCCATGGTGTTTTGAGGGATAGAAAAAAAAAGAAGGAAGGATTTAGATGTTATTGTTAATAAAACTCTACAGTTCTCTACTGAGGTTTTAGTTGTGATCAAAGGAGAATTTATTATTCATTCTATTCATAAGATACTGACTTAGTGCAAACATGAGAGGTGAAAAGCTTAAGATTTAATATCTACTCCTATGTGAATAAACAGAATTTTATTCTTATTTGACAAGCACAAAGCTGTAAGCACATGTTGAAATTAATAATACTTGTACTCTGATTTATATATATAAAGAGTGGTCAATTATAAATATATCCGAGAAGAATTATGGGTAAAAGTATCCAAAACAATTTAGTCTTATGCTGTATCTGAACTGTAAAAAAACAAGTAGATTCTAATGAACAGATTATTCTGGATGAACACAGCCAAGAAGTTAATGCTTTCACAAATTTGTTTGTTATTAGGAGGAAAAAAATACTTTTCATAACCTGATCAATTTTCTGAAGGTGTGGAAAATAATTATTTAACTTCTTTCACTAATAAAGGAGAAATGGTTTTGGAGAAACTGAGGCATCTTGGATGGAATAAAACTATGTTGAGATTTATCTTCAATCTGTGGAAAAATTTGAATAAACAGTCTTTGTTTTTAATAATAACTAATTATTAACATAGTTCTAAATATAGAAATGACAAGTTTTTGATTTTCAAATGAGCATACCCTAGCTAATAATATACACACATACCTTGACTTTTGATAAGTTATTGATAATATTCCATGCAAAAGTTTTAATTATGGTAATATTGATAAAGAAGTCAAAATTTGTCTCTAATTGGAAGAAAGTTCTACTATTCACGAAAGGTTTATTTGAACCATTTGTTATTCATTATTTAAGTTTATTACTTAGAAAACTACAAGGACAGCAATCAAGGTATCCACCAGTTTTAAAGAGGCTATCTCACCAATTTCAATACCTAAAAAGTTAACATTTCTGGAGCTGTTACTTCAAATAAACTTTTATCATATAAATATGTGTGTATATGGATGTGAAACGCTATGTTTTTGAGACTGATCAGTTGCTTTCATTGGATGTTTTAGTGGATGGAGAGATATGACCTTAATGAGCTGAATCATGTCATCTTGCTCTTTCCTATGATCTTATTTTGGATGACTTTGGTGAACTAACTGGGCTTTTTTCTTAAATTATGATCAGTACAAAATCTAACTTAAGTTGTATTAAAGAAAAAAAAATTTCTAAATTATTATTCAATGATAATATATATATACACATCACATTAAAATAAAGTACAAAATATAAGTAGGAAATGCAGTACAAAAACAACTTGTTAATTCACCCAGAAAAGAAAAAAGAAACTAGTTCTTAACTTTAATATTACATCTTACTTAAAATATTGGAAATTAATTTTTTCAATTTTCTGATGAAATTTACACACACACATATATATATGCATTGCATTAACAACAAAGTTAAATTTTCTTAAACTAATTTCTTGTTCGTTAAATTCATTTTGTCATAATGTTACTTCAGTTATTAAACTTCCTACATTAATTTCAAATATCAAATAAAAATTTACTACAAATTAATTACAATGTTTAGTTTAGTTTTACGTTCACTATGTAAACGAACAGACCAACGAAATGTGAACAGCATTTAAAAAATATAAATAAAACTTACAATGTCAGGGAGACAAAAAAATTGTTTATAAAAATATGTAAAATAATAATAAAGATTATCAGTTTGGGCAAAAAATGGTCAAAGTTGGTACAATCTTAACAAATCTCTTCGTGTGACACTGACACAGTGACAATGATGATTGATACAATGATAGCGATACAGTGATGCTGACTGGTAGTAATTTTAATGCCTGGTCGTAACCTTAAAATTAAGTTATTTTTACGCTAACTTTTTAGTTCGTATTAATTTATTATTAGCATTTTCAAATTTAGCGTAATTCGAAAACATACTAACCTTCTAAAAGTCGAGCTATTATACTATCAATATTCAGTTTGTCTGAATCGGCCATTTGTTTAAATATTCAACCTGTGTTCGGGATTTTTTCCAGTACAACGAGTATTCTGGCTCCCTACATCTACTGGTTCAATATATCATCACTACGACCAAACCCCAAATCGTAGGCCAAACACAAAAAATAAACAAATAAAAAATGAAAGAGGTGAAAAGGGAGTGTCTAGCAACTGGCGTCATCTATTGATCGTATGATTAAAATAAAGTTAAGAGTTTTTCATCATGAGATATAATTATTTTATATTTATTTTACCTTACTGCAACACCAAACAAAAGCTTCGTCAAAGTATTTCAATATTCAATATTTTTCTACTTAATCAAACTTTTAAAATTAATTTTACTATTTCACAAACAAACATGTGTCAGCCTTGTGTTCATCTTAAAAATCAAAGTTGCTGTGTTTTTTTTTTCTCTGTAAGTTGTAAAATATGATTTTGTGTGTATAAATAAAAACAATTAATCTTGAAAAGAAATGCCTTGTGAGTATGATATAAACTAAACATTTATACTCCTATCAATTGGTATACGTAAATAATGAGCGATGGATTTTATCTATCAACATACTTTAATATTCTAGAACATTTTATATCAAGTTTTCTTTAATCGTTTATAGGTAGCAGCACTGTGATGGATATAGTTTAATGTCTAGGTCCTGATTGAAACTTTAGGAAACGATCTGAATAGTATAAAAACGTGAGTTACGCTACATTAAATATGGATTGAATACTGTGTCAGACAATGAAGTCGGTGGGCGACTGATTACCGAGTTGCTGTTGTTAGTCTGTTACTGTCAGGCAGTTAGTCACTTAGTCCGTGTTTTTTTTTATTTTATTTTATTGGGTTTGTGTTTCTTCGAACAGATAGAGCCCCAGACATTACCATTTTAACTAAGTAACGTAAATTTTAATCAGTCTGTAACAGCATTTCAAGTGAGTCCTGAATTGCTCTTTAGGGAAATCAGTTTTATTTGAAAATAGTTAAGAAAGAAAAATATCTTTACTGTAATCATAAGACACTATCGTGGAGTTCTCTGTTGGTGCATGTATTGCCTTTACTTAAACTCTTGTGTTATCAAGTTTTAAAAAATGCTTCTTGCTTAAGGAATAGGATTTTCCTCGGATAGAAGTGCTCATGATAAAGAAAGAGAGTTAGTTGTTGAAGAAAGACAGTTTTATGAATGAGTTTTCAGGTCGAAGAGAGGTCTTTTCTTGGGCTTTTGATTTTTACCAGTGAAAATCCATGACTTGGTTGCTCTGCAACCAAAGACTAAAGAAGATCAGCCTGTGTCTGGTGCATCAAGAATGGCAGATTACGTGTTACCCCTGAGAATCGATCTCAGCATGGGTGGGGGGGGGTAGTTGATAACTGAGGGTCGCCAAGATAAAATGGCAACTGGCGAGTCTGAGAACAGGTGAGGCAGTCTGTATAGGACTCCAAAGTCATCACCAGTAACAGTAACACAATCCCAACACTGGTTTGGTTAAGGCCATAAAAGACTGGCGGAGAGGGACTGAAAGTACTGACAAGGTCCACCAGTCAGAGCTGTTTTAATAGAAGATGAGACAGTAGACATCAATTGGTGTAGACCGTATCTCATGGGCCAATCGAGAGCCTCTCTTAACAGCGATGTTGATTGCTAAGATAACATAATTGAAAAAGGCTAATGAAGTAATTTGCAGGGGAGCTGAAGTCTTTCTGGTTTAAACTACTGAAGTATGTGGTAATTGTTAATGGTGATATATGTATATGACAATATATTTGTGAATAAATAAATGTGCAGATTGAAATATGTCGTAAGCAGACGTATTTATGAACATTATCTTCATTTTTTTTCTGTACAAAATGCAGTTATAACACATGAAATTGGAGGCTGAAAGTAAAACCTGTATAATGAAGCTTTGTAAGTCATGCTAAATTAGTACTAAACTTCTAACTGGAAATGAGCCCTTAAGGGAAGGCAATGTAAACATTAATGGATTCTAGTGGTCAGAAGTAGGGGTCTAGTTGGCATCAAATAGCCTAAGTCAATTCATTTGTGTGTGTCCGAACGAGTGGCTACAGTGTTGATGTCAGAAGTAGAGAACTAGTTGGCATCAAATAATATAAATCAACTCATGTGTATGTGTAGAAATTAATGGCTACAACCTTGACTCATTTGCTTTCCTTCTGGATCTGAACTCTATCCAGATGATAACCAGATAGTAATTAAAGAGGTGTGATTGAATTGGATGGTGGGCTATGTTGTCTGTTTCCTTAAAAGTATGACCGCCTGGCATGACCAGGTGGTTAGGGCGCTTTTGACTCGCAATCTGAGAGTCGCGCGTTCGAATCCCCGTCCCACCAAACATACTCGCCCTTGCAGCCGTGGGGGCGTTATAATGTGACGGTCAATCCCATTATTCGTTGGTAAAAGGTTAGCCCAAGAGTTGGTGGTGGGTGGTGATGACTAGATGCTTTCCCTTTAGTCTTTCACTGCTAAACTAGGGACGACTAGCGCAGATAACCATCATGTAACTTTGCGCGAAATTCTAAACAAACCAAACCAAACTTAAAAGTATGACAGTATTTAGCACAGCTATAGGTTTTGGTCAGCTTCTTCTTGTTTTCAAATGCGAATGACCAGCCATATGGATAACATTAGGCACTCTGGATACGTCTGATGTTATCGTTTTAATTAACCAAATGTATGCAAGGTCAGTCTGTCAGGCTCCGTATTGTGGAAGGAATGTTGACCATAATTCCGAATTTACTAGATGTGTGGCAAGCTTTTAGTAAAACTAAGATGGGTTACAAAAGTATTTGTACTTAAGACATGTCTGTGATATTGATGCTGCCAGTTTGACTCATACTCTGATAAGTCGGAGTGCAAAATGATATTCATGTGAAAAATAAAGATTATTTTGTGTATCATACAGTTTGCATATTGCATAACCTGTAGAACCCCTGAAGTGGATATCTACAATTTTCAGTATCCCTGTATATTGTATTTGTTATTTACTATTCTCTACCACAAAATCTTGCTAAATCAGCAATGTAGGTTGAAATAAATAGTTCATAACACTGACATCAAACACCATGTTAAATGGCACCCTGTAAAAGGTCATGGCATGTGCATTTTGACTCCCACTCGTGCACATAATGTTAGCTAAGTAACGTGATATTCAATCCGGAACAGCATTTTGATTGAGTTGGTCAGCCTGCTATAAATCTCAAGGGAACAACTTCAGTCTAATCGATCAACATCTCCATCATCCACAGGTCACACATACATGTTATTTTTATTATATTTCTCTTTAAATTAATATGTTTTCATTGTTTTTTGTATAGTTGTGTCTAGTGCATTTATTTCTTGTAGAGAATTAGTTAGATTTAATGTAATTTACTATTATTTCTTCGTAATACATCTTGCTAAACCTCCTGTTATATAGTGGTTTTATCCGATTTACTATTTAGGGAAATCACTTTTTTCTTACAATACCATAAATTTAAACCAATCAGTGAGAAATGAGCTATCAAAATCAGTTGTAGTAAGATTTAAAGCCAAAGAAATAAATCACTTCTTTTATTATTACAACGGCTGCACTCTGCAATTTTCTTTTCACCAAACAATAGAAACCATTACAATAGTGATAACAGAAGTGGAATCATTTCGAAAAAGTAAACTAGAGCCCATAATGAACTTTAATATGACAACACGAACATTTGATGGAAATACTGGAACAGTGGAAAGATTACCAAGAATAAATAGACAGAAAAGTAAAAGAAAATCAAGAAGAAATAGACAGAAAACTAAAATTAGATCAAAAAGAAAGAGACAGGAAGTTGAGAGAGGAATTAGAAAAACAAGACATGAGATTTAAATAAAAATTGATAACAGAAATTAATGTGGTCAAAGTCAAGATTGAGTAAGCCAAAAAAAAAGTACAGAAGGATCACAGAACAAAATCAAAAACAAAATGACATCAACGAGGTAAAAAAGGAAGTATAAAAGCTCAACAATAAAGTATAGGTGGATAATAATACCAAAACCAAAGAAGCCATAGGAAATGTACAAAAAATTTAAACTCTGGAATAAAATATCTAGATAATGATTTTGCAAATGTAAGGCTCGAACCAGCCACGCCTCTCTTTTTAAATAATTTCATTTCTCAAATACAATTAACCATGTAATATGAAACACAATTAAACATGTAATATGAAACAGAAGAACCAATTTGGTCCACACTTATTACAACTACTGTTGTACCATTTATGACTGCAAGACCTTTTTAGAATATGCCAACTACACCACTACTTCATCAAGATGTAGAATTTAACAGTAGAGAAATCCAACAGGGTTGGATAGTCAACACGGTTTCACTAGGGAAAAAAATTTCTCTTACTAATTTCTGGACATTTTTTGAAAAGATCACCGCTTACGTGTATTAGGGTATGGTGTATCTGGATTTTCAGAAAGCATGTGACAAGGTGCCACATAAAAGGCTTGTTAAAAAGTTACCTCTGCATATAGTTATTTCTGAATAGGAAACTGGTGAGATAGAAGAAAGCAGGGGGTTGTTATAAATAGAGTTCAGGTAAACTGGATTATCGATACGAGTGAGGTACCTCAGGGCTCAGAGTTAGAACCTTTGCTCTCTTTGATTTATATGAAGAAATGGTCAATAGATTATTTAAATTTGCTGATGATATTAAAGTTTTAGGTGTTGCTGGCTGTAAGGATGATCCTGCTGTTTCACAAAAGGATTTGTATTATTTGGTGAGTTGGGTGAATAAATGGCAGATGAATTGTAATTATAATAAATGCAAGGTAGTGCATGTGGAATATCACCATTTGAATTACGAGTATAATTTTGATGGAGGCAAAATTAACAGTGTTATGGAAGAGAATAATCGTGGTTTTCTAGTAGATCAGTCTCTTAAGCCATTCAAGCAATTTGCTGTTATTAGTGGCAGGGCAAATAGGATTGTAGGTTTTATCTACGGAAATATTGAATGCAAGTCTGAAGAGGTTATAATTTCATTGTATGTATTACTGGTTAGATCACATTTGGAGTATTGTGTTTAGTCTTGGGCTCCTTAAGTTACCTTAGAAATGACACTGAATTGTTGGAAAGAGCTCAGAGGAGGGCTACTAGGATGATACCTGGAATAGAAAAGCTGTTATATGAGATAGGTTAAGTTCTATGAACTCATTTGCTCTTGAAAAAAGATTGTTAGAAGAGATCTGATTGAGGTGTTTAAGATTGTAAAGGGAATTGATAGTGTTGATGCCTCATGTTTTTTCATATTTAATGGTGAGAATGATAAGATTAAGGGTCACAAATATAAATTTTGGTAGGGTAGGAGTCTGTTTGTTTATGTGTTTTAGAGCAAAGCCACATTGTAATATCTGCTGTGTCCACCGCGGAGGAATCTAGTCCAGTATTTTAGCGTTGGAAGTCTGATAAACGTACCGCTGTCTCACCGGGGACAAAGTATGAGTCGTTTTCAGCTAAGACAGTTTTATTTAAAGTGACTTTTAATTTCTTTTAAACACACACAAAAAATATTTTGCCACTAATTACAAACTATATAAAAATAAAAACTGAATTTACTAAACATTTAGTATAAATGGTAGTATTAATTTGCATCTGCTTGTCAAAATTGGTCATTGTACAGGTACTTGTAAAAGCGCCTTCTAGCAGTTAATCGCAAGGTAAATTTAGATAGTAGCCTACAAGGTACGTATAGGTTCGGTGACGAACGTAGAAAGGAGGAGGTAACCGTAGATATTTATATATGTTTGATATAACATTTCAATATATCATCAACTATTAATTACTATGATAATCATAACAATTAATTTAATAATACCCCAGGTGTTGCTGTTAGTCAGGACGTTAAATATTTAAAATGAAAAGTCGGGCAGAAAATTGTTACTTTTTTTTTTAAATGTGTCTTTAATTTTCGAGTAAGAGTATACCTAAGGAAAATAGTAATCACGGTTGTGTCATGCTACTAATAGCAATACTATTGAGAAAGAAATCTAAAAATAGAAAGTCGTTCTCGTTACGACAATAACAAAGTACTCTCGTAACATTACGCAAGGTACGGATTTTAGATTAATGCTAAAGTCTTTTGTTTTGTATTAGTTCACTTTTTATTATAATATAAAATAGAAATCTAGTAATAGTATAGCTTACTGCAGATAATTTAGTGTATATATATTGTTAATTGTGCATTATTCAAAAGTGCATTTGGACTGTCATTAGTATTTATTAGTTTTTTATTGTTTATAAATTAATGTATATATGTGGCAAAAATGTACATTTATACAGTGGCATTAGAGGTTGAAATTTTCTATTAACGTTCATGAAGTACAGAAAACAATTCTTAGGGAAAATATCTATTGGAAAAGTTGTTTAAAATACAACAATTCTGAATTTAAACTTATTACACATGCTGAATAACTGTAAAATATTGTTATTATTATTATTTTTACACAGTATTGACACCATGCGTTACGTTGCTGCTTATCTTCTGTCGGTTCTTGGAGGAAACAAAAATCCTTCTAGTGAAGATATTGAGAAGATTTTAGGAAGTGTGGGTATTGAAGCAGAAAAACAAAAACTTGACAAGGTTATTAAAGAACTGAAGGGAAAAGATGTAAACGAAGTGATGGAGGAAGGTTAGTTCAAATATCCCTTTGTAAGTTGATTTGAACTTTAGGGCTAGTCAGTGGAATGAGCACTCATATGGGCAGAATTAATATTTTTTAGATATTTGGCTTTTAGTTTGATTGATTGCATGGTGTTGCCTCTTATGGTGTAGAACATTGCTTATAATTCGCTGTTAAACTGCCTTACCGTTTCTATTCAAGAATGTTTGATATTCCATCTGAGTCAGCAGATCTTGTTTATTACTACTAGGATAACAATAATTTTGTTTTTCAGTATTTATAGAAGTTCAGTTTTTCTATTCTTTTTCAAAATAAGGTATAACATTCAGTTTTTAACATATTAGAAGTTTCATTCCATTCAAATGTCTCGTTATTTTTCACATCTAATATGCAAACCTCTTTAGAACTTAGAAAATGTATCATGCATTCTTGTATAGTCAGTAAAGGTGACGAGTGGTAAATTTCAAGTAATTTCTTTGGTCAGTTGGTATATGGAAATGCAAAATGTTAAGTTTTTGTAGTGTAATTGCTAGATTTATTTTACCTAGAAACTGGCCTAAGAAATTTTGATAAAATTTGGTAGAAGAACGTGGGTAGATCCCCCAGAGATCTAGTTTAAATCAATAATCAGTTGGGTAAAGGTTTGAGTTTAGCAGCCGTTTCAGCTTTTACAACTTCTGAGTTGGCACCACACAAAGTTTATGTTTAATTCTGCAAGTAGCACAGGTTCTTTTGCTGGTATCTATAATCATTAGACGTACAAACTGCATGTCAAATGATGCACACACACACACACTGTCCTACCATTTTCATGAAGCCATTGAAATAAATGCTGCTCAAGGCACAGTACAATTGTAAATATTCTAAATCAAGAGAATAACTTAAGAATAGCTTATATGTTTCTGATATGGTGATGATATTTATGTTTTGTTTGAAAGTATTAATAAGAGTATTGTATGTGTGTGTTGTTTTAGCAACTTAAGAATAGCTTATATGTTTCTGATATGGTGATGATATTTATGTTTTGTTTGAAAGTATTAATAAGAGTATTGTGTGTGTGTGTTGTTTTAGCAACTTAAGAATAGCTTATATGTTTCTGATATGGTGATGATATTTATGTTTTGTTTGAAAGTATTAATAAGAGTTTTATGTGTGTGTTGTTTTATCAGTTTGTTTTACTTACCATTGCAGTTAATTTCTAGACATTCAGGTAGCTGCATTTAGTAAATTAGAAGGTTTTTGTTTGCATGAAATAAAATTAAGAGGCAATCGTTGAAAGGTAACCTTTTATGTACATTAGAATATATTATCCATTATTTACTTTTGGACTTGAGAGAATTTAAGAAGTTATGTAAAGATAGTGTGTTTGTTTAAATATTGCTACATGCTTTTAAATTATGTTAATTTGCTTCATAATTTAATTTTGGTAAGTAATATTAAATATTTACTTTTAGGCCAAAGTTAATTCCCGCCTGACAAGAAGTTTAATGTTAACTTAAGTTTTGGAACCAAGTTATACTATTACCTAAACTTGGAAGAATTCCTCAGTGAATGAAGCCACCTTCAGCTCTATCTCTCTTCCAGTTTAAATAAATTTAAAACCATTTAGCTAACTTTACATAAGTCAGCTAGCTTTCTGTTATCCCATTCCCAAACTCTTTTTCAACTTTAAAAAAAAAAAAGAGGGATGCTCACATACCTGATTTTTTATCTTTAACACTCTTGAGAAAACTGTTTTTAACTTCCCAACGTTTATAATTTATCACCAGAGGGTTAATATCTACATGATTCAGGTCAATTACAATATGTTCAGGGTCAGGAATATTGTTAGTATCTTGTATTCTAAAAATGAATGAAACGTGTGTGTATAAATAGTAATTACTGCTGGTTATATAATAAATCATTAACTGAGGTTAAAGTTGATTTTCTACAATTGTACTAATTTAACTTGACTGGTTAAGCTTTTAGATGTCCTGTGTTATCCTTGCATCACTTATGATGGAATTTTATTTTTTTATGATGTGCTAGTGATATAACCATACTGGTTTTGGTTACCAGACATATAAAACTGTCTGATGATGACAAAACCTTGTCGAAACGTTGTACATTTGCTGTCATGTTAAACTTGTATTAAAGTTTTTCTTCATTACCCATTTAAGCCATCTCCAGCCATTATTATATAAAACTGTTATTTTTTTATGATATGCTAGTGATATAACCATACTGGTTTTGGTTACCAGACATATAAAACTGTTACTTTTTTTTATATGTGTGGCAGTTGCCAGTAATAATAAACTAATATGAATTTTCATATGTTAGCCACATGCCAGAGTCACGTGTAACTTGTAGCTTTTTAATGTTTTTTAAATATTTTGGTCATATAATAAAGTATTAATTGAAGCTAAAGTTGATTTTTTCCAACATTATACCAGTTTAAAGCCTTTGCTGAGTTATTAAAAGCTTGGATGAAACTAATTTTATTATTTGTCAATACATAAAGGTGATGTTATATGCAAAGTCCATAACAAATATTGTTTTCTCAAGATGAATGTGTCGCATACATCATTAAAAAGCCTTCATTTAAGTCACTTTAGGTTTATTCGCACATGACTAATGTCACATTTTTATATTTTCCACATTACACGTTAATATAAAAAAAAATAAAGTTGCATTTGTTGTTGCTTCAAATTATTTAAAATTTTGGACATTCACGGAATATTAAAAGTTTTGAGGCGGCTTGACCGGATAATGAAAAAAAAAACTTTATTATAAATTTACAATGTTTCGACAAGATTTTGTCATCCAATTAAAAGTGGGGTCCTCGTTATCAAGTTTTCATAGAACATTATTCAACAACTTCAAAAAGTCTATTCCATACACCAACATTGTACAAACAGTCAATAATAGGTATACAATTTCAGCAATTAAATTTAAAAAAATGTGTGATTCTGAGTAGATTCTCCTCACATAAATGGGGATACAGTTTACTTTAATTGCACGTGTGAAACATAATTATTGTCTTGATGGCATGTATTACTGAATTTTTTATTTTTATGAGTTTAATTTAAGAGATGCACAAAAAATAGCATTGGTCAGAGTGGAGAGTTGTTTGTTTTAGATCTTGAGCCCTGGTACTTAAGCTTTGCCTTGTTGGCTGGAGAACAGTCAGCAGAGGAACAGAAACAGCTTGGCAACGATTAAACTGATGGAGAACAGTCAGCAGAGGAATAGAAACAGCTCGATAATGATTAAACTGATGGAGAACAGTCAGCAGAGGAATAGAAACAGCTCGGCAACGATTAAACTGATGGAGAACAGTCAGCAGAGGAATAGAAACAGCTTGACAACGATTAAACTGATGGAGAACAGTCAGCAAGGGAATAGAAACAGCTTGATAATGATTAAACTGATGGAGAACAGTCAGCAGAGGAATAGAAACAGCTCGGCAACGATTAAACTGATGGAGAACAGTCAGCAGAGGAATAGAAACAGCTCGGTAACAATTAAACTGATGGAGAACAGTCAGCAAGGGAATAGAAACAGCTTGACAACGATTAAACTGAATATTCACTAGATTGAATTAAATAAGAAGAACTTAGGATGAGGTTTGACCCAAAAAACTATATTTATTCAGCAGACAAAATTAAAGTGCTTAATTCAGACACAAAAAGTTACTGAATAATCTAGTTTGAATTAACTTTTCCTGGACTGTTAAATCCAAAACTGGACACAACTAATTCTCTCTTGGTGAATTTGCCACTCAGTAGCACATATCCTGGTCATATGTATGTTGTCAGTTTGGGCAACTGTGTTATAGGTCATGTATTGTAAGGTTTTATTGTTTGTCACCTTGGGTTTCCATGATTTTGATATGTTCATAGTGATTAGTGCTGATTGAGTGTAAAATGTTTTGCTAGGATGAATAATGGATTGTTTGCTTGGAACTTTGGTCTCCGAAGGTCAGATCGTTGGCCTCAGAACATGCACACTTAACTGAGTGTCCTGGGTTCAGTCTGTTATTAGTGTAGATTTTGTAACTCTATAGAATTAATCTTGAAAGTAATTAAACAGCTAGATCCTCAAGGAAAAGCAGAAACCCAAATCTAGACTCAATTATGAAAAAAATCTAATTTAAGTTGGTCTTTGTTTATGTAAAATGTTGTGTATGATATTAACTCCAAAATCTTGAAAACAATTAGTATTATAAATGGAGAAAAAATACATATTATTAACAACCACAACCTAAGCTTAAATTAGGACATTTTAGGTTTATCCACACTTGATAATACGACTTAAACTTTGGGATGAAAATCATGTAATCTGCAGATGATGTGTTTTTTTCCACATTCATCCAGCCCAACTGACAAGTTCTGCCATTAAATGAAATGACTTTTGCAAGAGAAAATATAATCTGATAACCTGATTTTTAAACATTTTTTATTTGAATCTGAAATTGAGAAATTAGGAGGAACGTAGAAAACAATCTGTAGTTTACACGATTTTTATTGCAAATTTTAACAGCCCTTTGGTTTTTAACGATTTTCTTGTTTTTGCCTTGTAACTTGATAACATGATTTATCAGTTTTAGTTTCTTGCTCATATGAAAGTGTTTTCTTCTGCGTCATTATTGTGTTGTGTTTGTAATTCCACTAACGTATTCTAAACGTGAAATACAGGAAGATCAAAACTGGCTTCTGTGCCATTAGGAGGTGGAGTTACTGCTGTTGTAGGTGTTGCCGCTGATACAAAAGAAACTACAGAGGCTGTGAAAGGTAGGAAAATGCAGATGAGCTGGTTAAACTAATATGTGTGTGTAAACAAAAATTAAGGTGTGTTGTGAATAATAAAAAAAGTTATTAGCTTTATTTTTAATGTTATTACTTAGTTGTTTGCTGGAGGAAGATGTTGATCATTTATGCTTTATTGTCCAACGGTGTATCTACCACATATAATATAGAATAGATGATGGAAATAACATATTTAAAAACACATTGTCAGGGATAATAAGTGTGAACAGCTGTAACATGATACAATTTGTTCATTTAAGAATCTTAATATCTAGACACAAGGATAGACCACTTATAAATATAAGTAAGTGGTTAGTGAAGTGAATGAGTATTCAGTGAATTTATGAGTTCAGTGTCAGAGAAGATAGATGTGAGGGTTATCACATCTGTTTAGTTACTGGAATGATTAGTGAGGAGATTCTGTAAGATTATTTGTGAAGAAAATTTATGTTGAAATGTTGATATG